TGTATTTCTGTGGTGTCCGTTGTGATTTTTCCTTTCTTATTTCTGATTCTGTTTGTGTGTGTAGATTCTTTTTCTCTTAAGTCTGGCTAGAGGCTTATCTATTTTGTTTGTTTTCTCAAAGACCCAGCTCTGGTTTCATTGATTTTTTTCTATTGTTTTATTCTTCTCAATTTTATTTATTTCTTCTCTGATCTCTATTATGTCCCTCCTTCTGCTGATTTTGGGGCTCATTTGTTCTTCCTTTTCCAGTTTCAATAATTGTGACTTTAGACTATTCATTTGGGATTGTTTTTCCTTCTTTAATAGGCCTGGATTGCTATATACTTTCCTCTTAGAACTGCCTTCGCTGCATCACACAGAAGTTGGGCATTGTGCTGTTGTCATGTGTTTCCATATATTGCTTGATCTGTTTTAATTTGGTCATTGATCCATTGTTTATTTAGGAGCATGTTGTTAAGCCTCCATGTGTTTGTGAGCCTTTTTGTTTTCTTTGTACAATTTATTTCTAGTTTTATACCTTTGTGATCTGCGAAGTTGGTTGGTAGAATTTCAATCTTTTGGAATTTACTGAGGCTCTTTTTGTGGCCTAGTATGTGGTCTATTCTGGAGAATGTTCCATGTGCACTTGAGAAGAATGTGTATCCTGTTGCTTTTGGGTGTAGAGTTCTGTAGGTCAATCTGTTCTAGTGTGTTGTTCAGTGCCTCTGTGTCCTTACTTATTTTCTGTCTGGTGGATCTGTCCTTTGGAGTGGTGTGTTGAAGTCTCCTAAAATGAATGCATTGCATTCTATTTTCTCCTTTAATTCTGTTAGTATTTGTTTTATTAATGTCAGTGCTCCTGTGTTGGGTGCATATGTATTTATAATGGTTATATCCTCTTGGTGGACTGCCCCCTTTATCATTATGTAATGTCCTTCCTTATCTCTTGTTACTTTCTTTGTTTTGAAGTCTATTTTGTCTGATACAAGTACTGCAACACCTGCTTTTTTCTCCCTATTGTTGGCATGAAATATCTTTTTCTGTCCCTTTACTTTCAGTCTGTGTATGTCTTTGGGTTTGAGGTGAGTCTCTTGTAAGCAGCATATAGATGGGTCTTGCTTTTTTATCCATTCTATTATTCTATGTCTTTTGATTGGTGCATTCAGTCCATTTACTTTTAGGGTGATTATCAATAGATATGTACTTATTGCCATTGCAGGCTTTGGATTCGTGGGAAACAAAGGTACAAGGATAGCTTTTTTACTATCTAACCATCTAACTTTAACTCACTTATTTCGCTATTATAAACACAGTCTGATGATTCTTTATTTCTCTCCCTTCTTAGTCTTCCTCCTTCACTCTTTAAATGTTAGGTGTTTTATTCTGTACTCTTTTGTGTTTCCTTTGACTGCTTTTGTGGGTAGTTGGTTTTATTTTTTGCCTTTAGTTAGTATTTGGTTGGTCTGCTTTCTTTGCTGGGTTTTGTCTCTGGTGACATCTATTTAGCCTTTGGTGTACTTCCATCTAGAGCAGTCTCTTTAAAATACCCTGTAGAGGTGGTTTGTGGGAGGCAAATTCCCTCAACTTTTGCTTGTCTGGAAATTGTTTAATCCCTCCTTCAAATTTAAATGATAATCGTACTGGATACAGTATTCTTGGTTCAAGGCCCTTCTGTTTCATTGCATTAAATATATCATGCCATTCTCTTCTGGCCTGTAAGGTTTGCTTTGTAGGTGGTCTTTTTTCTCTCTCTGGCTGCCTTTAATACTCTGTCCTTGTCTTTGATCTTTGCCATTTTAATTATTATATGTCTTGGTGTTGTCCTCCTTGGGTCCCTTGTGTTGGGAGATCTGTGGCCTTCCATGGTCTGAGATACTATTTCTGAAGTTTTCAGCAATTATTTCTTCAAAGACACTTTCTATCCCTTTTTCTCTCTCTTCTTCTTCTTGTACCCCTATAATGTGAATATTGTCCCATTTGGATTGGTCATACAGTTCTCTTAATATTCTTTCATTCCCAGATATCCTTTTCTTTCTCTTTGCCTCAGCTTCTCTGTATTCCTGTTCTGATTTCTATTCCATTAACTGTCTCTTGAACCTTATCCAGTTTGCTCTTAAGTCCTTCTATTGATTGTTTTATTTCTGTTATCTCCCTCTGGACTTCATCTCTTAGCTCTTGCATATTTCTTTGCAACTCCATCTGCATGGTTGTGACTTTTATTTTGAATTCTTTTTCAGGAAGATTGGTTATATCTATCTTGCCAGGCCCCCTCTCTGGAGTTGAATGATTTTTGACTGGACCAGGTTCTTGTGCCTTTTCATGGCGTTAGAAGTGATCGCCTGCAAGTGACACGTGTGTCAGCTGGGAGAACAAAGTCCCTTCCTGCTTGCTGGTCACCTTGCCCTTCTCTGCTGCCTGTGCTGGTTACCCACACACAGGGAGCAGTCTCTGGGTTAATGTCCTGAACTGCTGTGGCAGGGTGGCCCTCGGTATAGCCTAGGGCACTGCGGGGGGTGGGGGTCGCAGACACGCCGGGTGTGTTCTCCTGTGAGAACGGCGCCCCTTCATGCCTTCCGGACCTTGCCCCTGCTTCCTCTGCCTGTTCTGGGAAGCTGCATGTAGGTGGCAGCTTCTGGGTCTGTCCTGGTTAGCTGTGCGCTGGGAGAAGACTGTGTGGTTGCTGTGGGTGGGGCTGCTCCGCAGCAATGGCAGGTCAGCCAGTTTGCTTGCAGTGCCAGCAGGGGGGAATGAATGGCAGGCTGCTTATCGCAGTAAGGGGCTTCAGAACTGTGTTGCCACCCAGGGGGTTAGGGTGCCTGAAGTTCCTTAAGATTCCTAGCCTGCTGGGGTGAATGTGCCATGATGATTTTGTCCACCTGTCAAACCCTTGTTCCTTTAAGAGTTTTAAAGTGCCAGCTTTTCTTTTGTCCCAGGGGAGCCGGCTGTGGGGACCCACTTGCAGTCTCCATCTTGGATTTTGCTTTTCTGTTTCTCGAATATCCAGTACACCATGTGATGTGTGTCTGTGCTCTTGTACAGATTACTAGAGCTGGTTATTTAGCAGTCCTGTGCTTCCACTCCCTCCCCACTCTAATTCTTTCCCCCCTGCTGGTCAGCTGGGGTGGGGGGAGTGCTCGGATCCCGTCAGGTCATGGCTTTGTATCTTACCCTTTTCGTGAGATGCTGTTCTTGCAGATGTAGATGTAGCCTGGCTGTTGTGCTGTATCTTCTGGTCTCTCTTTTAGGAATAGTTGTATTTGCTGTATTTTCAAAAATATATGTGGCTTTGGAAGACTTCCACTGCCCTACTCATGCTGCCATCTTGAGTGCCTCAGTCCTAGTATTTTTAAGGTAAAACTATAACCAGATAAGCACTAAAACAAATAGTAAGATATTTCCACCTTATCAAATCTATAAAGGATGAAGAGAAAATTTTAATACATGACCTCAGCATTCTTCCATTTAAATATATATAATAGAGCGACTAGATTCCCCCCAACTGTAGTACTATTATAACGGGAGGTAGTTGGAAGGGATATTAAAGAGGTCAGACAACTTAGAAGTCCAGTTTGGTGAAGTCTTCATGTTATGAACACAGGACTACTTGTGCCTCAGAGCACTCAGCATGTCTTTATTCTCACTAACACATACTGAATTTGTGTTTCCTAGTTACTAGCCTTCCTGGTCCATCAGCACCATCCAAGTTAAGTTGTATTTGGTCATGTGTATGCATCCTGCACCTAACAGATCACCTGGCACAGAGGTTTCCCTTCAGACCTGTCTGTTCTGCTTCTTTTGATTTCATTTAAGGGCAGCCAAATGAGAGAGATTTAGCTATGTATGTTCTTGCTACAGTGGTCGAATACGTTGCGTAGACTGCCGGGAAATGGAACTCTCTCAATAATAAATAAGGGTGACAGGCCGAAATACATGTGTAGTAACTAGAGTTCATTAACCTCTTGCCTCACTTAGAACAGGAGCCTCTCAGAACTGGAAAGCAGCCAGTTACACTAGGGAGGCCTTCACGTCCCACCAACACTCTAAGCATGGGTCTGTATTTGCTTACATCCCCACTTTCCTTTTACCTTTCAAGTTCAGGCTCAAACTGCCTTGTACCTTGGCCACCTCAAGAGTCTATTGCCTGGGTATGCCTTACATTCTGTCTTTCCCACTCATATTTGTCCCACATATGAATTCGAGAATGCTCTTATCATGTTTTCCTCATTAAAAACCTTCCATGGTTCCACTGGTACCAAGTAAAACCCTAACTTTAGCTTTATAACTCTATCCAGATTCAACTCAACATTTCCTTTCTGTTCCATGCCAACCAACCCAAAGCACAAGTAAAGAAAAGCATAAAGGGCTCCCACAAAAATCCTGCACTTTTCTTGCTCCTGGTCCTTTCCTGACTGAAACTGATTTTCTTGGTTCTCTTTAAAATTATGCATTTTCATAAAAGCTTAATTTGAATTCCTCCCTTCTCCATGAACCCCATCCTACTTTATCACTTTTGCCAGATCACTCTCTTCTGTAAACCATTCATTACCTTACTCTACAGCTGTTAATTCAGGTCCCTGGAGGCAGAAACAGGATTTAAACCTTGTAGGATGCCCATCCCCACCCCCTGCAGTGCCCAGCACAGGTCCTTACAGACTGTGCAATCAAAGAGGACAGTATCTGTCATAACTAAAGATGCATATTTTGGTTTCTCTAAACACTGACTTACAGTTAACAAAATATCCTGGATATTTTTTTCTATGCAGATGAGGGGATGGCGTAATGTAATGGTCATTTATAATAGGGTTCTCCAAAAGGTTTCCATCTTTTGAGTGTTACCTTAAACCTACTTTCATAACTCATAAACAATGCTTCATTTGTAGAGCTATTGGTAATTTAAGGGCCTATTTTTTAAAAGCCAATTTGGTCAAGGAGAGGTTTTTGACTGTTATTCCAAAATCTAGTTAAATGTTTAATTAAATATAGTAAAAAAAATTTAACGTTATTATAAAGACTTAGTTTGATAAAATAAAACCCACCTTTAATAGAACTGGAGACAATAGAAAGAGGGGAAGATTTTATCTATCGATTTAGTGACTAAAAATATAAGGAGCAAATTAAAAAAACTTTTGAGAGAAAAAAATACACTCAAAGTACTTATCAGGAAGGATTATAGCAGTTTGAATACCATTTCTAGATCACTTGCTACTAAAAAACAAATATGCAAAGTTCCAAATAATCTTGGCCCTTGAAATTCAGGTAGTCCCGAAGTGCAGATACACCCTAAATTACAGTTCAGGAGTAGTTTCCCTAATGCTTATTTATCATGATTTCCATTCAGGGGAATGCTACACAGGAAGTGCAACCCACAGAAACTTTCTGAATCTTTAGTTGAGGTACAGAAAACAGAAGAGAGGGGGCTGCTCTCTCTCCAGTTCTCCTTTCCTGCACACGTACCTTATCATTAGGAAAAGCCCTCACAGAAGTATCCAGATCCCCATTACAGAGATTCGGTGAAACAGCAAAATACAGACAAATCAAGGCAACATGGATCTAAGAAAGGACTTTGGTTTGGTTGGGAGTCCTCACTGGTTAGCTTTCTGCATTAGAAGACAAAGTAGTGTGTCTTCTCACGACATTCCCATCAGGACAGCTCCTCCAGTCCTGCCCAGGACCTTGCCTGAGTCTGCTGGCTGACACTGCTGCTGGCACATAGAGTGAAGGGTCCACTTGGAGGAGGCCAGCCCTTTGCTCCAACACACGACACATCTGTAACGTAATAGTCCACAAGGAACCAGTCCACACTGATCTGAGCTACACGCCAAACACCGTGTCAGCTGCTATTCCTGCAGCAGGCTTCGGGAGATCAGCATCCTCATCACTTCGTTGCTACCTGCAAGGGAGAGAAAGAACGGGGGGCTTAGGTCCAGCAAAGTCTGAGGCCAGGGTGCACCAGGCCTAGTTCAGGACAGAAACTGTGTTATTTTTATCTCTGACAGGGATGGGATTATCACAGACTTCTCTCCACAGTACAGAAAATGTCAGGAAGTGAGGAATAAATTTACTTTTTAAAAAACCTCTCCTGATGGTAAGAACACTTATACTAGGTTAAAAAATAAAAGGCAGAACATAAAATAGTATATATAGTATATTCTACTTCTTTAAAAAGGTTATCTTAAAAGCACAGAAAAAATTCAAAGTATAAAAGGAGTCCAAAATATTCTCTGGCAACATGAGGATTTAAAAAAAATTTTTCCTGTATTTTACAAGTTTTCAACAACAAATATAACCAACTTTCTTAGTAGTCAGAACACTGAATTTTAAAAGATCAAAAAAACCTTTTTCCTGAAAGGACGGTGGCAACTGCTTGCTCATTTTTACAGGGGCCCTTAATGCAAAGAGAAATATGAACCCCCTTGAGGAATGAGGAATCACACATCTCAATAAAGCCAAATCTAAAACTTCAGATTTACCAGTAACAAAGTCCATAATGAAACTAAATGATACAAAGACCAATGCTCATATTTTTCTGTAGATGGGTGATGGTGTGGCCTGAAATAAATATATCTGGTTCTTCCCCTTGTTTATTCTAACAAGGCTAACAACAGAGGTAAGGTGAAGGTGAAGTTTGCTGCACTCGTAAGTGCTGAGTAGGAAAGCAACCGTGGAGTCACAGAAGGAGTAAGACTATGGGGCATTCAATCTGCACACCAGCAGCTCACAAACATACTTTAGGGATGAGGCTCGCAGCAGAAAGCAGCCTCTAACCTTTAGACGCCTGTGATTTGGACATAACACCAGAATGGTGGTTTCTCAGACACACACAGCAGCAGCCTCACTTGAAACCTTGTTAGAGATGCAAATTCTCAGGTCTACTTGAGACCCACTGAGTCAGAAACTCAAGGGGTAGGGCCCAGTAACATTTTCATAAGCCTTCCAGGTGATTCTGACTTAAGAAGCATGTTTCAAAAGCAGTGGAGAGGAGGGACATAATAAAGATCAGGGCAGAAATAAATAAAATTGAGAAGAATAAAACAATAGAAAGAATTAATGAAACGAGGAACTGGTTCTTTGAGAAACAAACAGATAAATCCCGAGCCAGACTTACCAAGAAAAAAAAGGGAGTGTACATACATAAATAGAATCAGAAATAAAAAAGAATAATCTCAACACCACAGAAATACAAAGAATTATTAGAGAGTACTATGGAACCAAATAGCAGTAGTCTCCCAGATAATGAGTTACCAAAGGGAAGGGTTTGGAAAGGGTGGTTGGGGAGGTAGGGAGAAGGGATTATTGGGCACTATAATTCACAATCACAATATAGGTAGGTCACAGGGAAGGCAGTACAGCACGGAGAAGGCAGGTAAGGACGCTGTAGCATCTTACTACACTGATGGACAGTGACTGCAATAGGTTTAGGGGCCTTGATAATGTGGGTGAATGTTGAACCACTGTGTTGTGTATTTGAAACCACAATAACATTGTATATCAATACTTTAATATAAAAAAAAAAAGCAGTAAGGAAATCAGTGCCCACAGGCTCCTCCTATGCCCCAAGAAAGTCAACCCACATTACTGCACTGAAAGCCACTGAGAGAAGTCTTTGCCCATCTGCTTTCCTAGTGTAATGAGGCTAGCTATCTAAACTAACTGGGACACAGGTGGTGGAATTTTTTTTTTGATATCGTTAATGTACAATTACTCAAACATTATGGTTACTAGACTCCCCCTATTATCAAGTCCCCCCCACATACCTCATTACAGTCACTGTCCATCAGCATAGTAAGATGTTATAGAATTCATTACTTGTCTTCTCTGTATATA